GTGTGTGAGTGTATAACTGTGTGTGTGAGTGTATAACTGTGTGTGTGAGTGTATAACTGTGTGTGAGTGTGTATAACTGTGTGTGAGTGTGTGTAACTGTGTGTGAGTGTATAACTGTGTGTGAGTGTGTATAACTGTGTGTGTGAGTGTATAACTGTGTGTGTGAGTGTATAACTGTGTGTGAGTGTGTATAACTGTGTGTGTGAGTGTATAACTGTGTGTGTGAGTGTATAACTGTGTGTGAGTGTGTATAACTGTGTGTGTGAGTGTATAACTGTGTGTGTGAGTGTATAACTGTGTGTGAGTGTAACTGTGTGTGTGAGTGTGTGTAACTGTGAGTGTGTATAACTGTGTGTGTGTTGGGAGGAAGAGAAAGGAAAAGGCTAAAAGAGCAGGAATGACAACAGAAAGAGAAAGCGGTGAGAGAGAGAAGAGTGGAGGGAGGGTCGAGCAAGCGAATGGAGGAGGAGGAGGAGCGTGAGGAAGAGGAGGAGGACAGGAGATGTGGTTGTTGCCGCGGCAGCAGAGCAGGACGGCTCACAGGCGGCACAACTACTCCTCTTTCTGTTTTATTCTTCCTCTTTCTGTTGCTTTCACCTGGAGGAGCTGCTTCCTCTTCCTCCTCTTCATCAGCCTGACCAGCGGTAAGTAGGATGAAATCTAAACTGCTCCAGATTCACTGCTGAGAATAGAAAGACCAGAGGAAGAGCAGCAGGAGGAGGAGGAGAGGAGGAGCGGGACGGGACGATGGGAGGAAGAGTTTGGAGACAAACTCAACTTCCAGAGAGACGATGAGCGAAAAACACCAACTGTGTGTGTGTGTTACGTGTGTGTGTTACTGTGTGTGTGTTACTGTGTGTGTTACTGTGTGTGTGTTACTGTGTGTGTGTGTTACTGTGTGTGTGTGTTATTGTGTGTGTGTGTTACTGTGTGTGTGTGTTACTGTGTGTGTGTGTGTGTTACTGTGTGTGGTGTTACTGTGTGTGTGTGTGTTACTGTGTGTGTTACTGTGTGTGTGTTACTGTGTGTGTGTGTACTGTGTGTGTGTTACTGTGTGTGTGTGTTGGGGTGTGTGTGTGTGTGTTACTGTGTGTGTGTGTTACTGTGTGTGTGTTACTGTGTGTGTGTGTGTGTGTGTGTGTGTTACTGTGTGTGTGTACTGTGTGTGTGTTACTGTGTGTGTGTGTTACTGTGTGTGTGTGTTACTGTGTGTGTGTGTGTGTGTGTTACTGTGTGTGTGTGTGTTACTGTGTGTGTGTGTGTGTGTTACTGTGTGTGTGTTACTGTGTGTGTGTGTTACTGTGTGTGTGTGTGTGTGTGTTACTGTGTGTGTGTGTTACTGTGTGCTGCCTGATGTTGATGTAATCCACATAATGAATTAGTGATGAACTTCTGCTTTTATCACCTCACACACACACACACACACTGTGCTCATTAATATTCACACCTTTGGAGCTGTTGTCCAATCAGAAGTCAGCCTGAATGTTTCCTGTGGAGGAACCTGACGGACCTGGATGGACCGGCTGGTCTGCTCCAGTTTCCTGTTGGGTTGATGGTTCTGGTTTCCTGTTGGGTTGATGGTTCTGGTTTCCTGTTGGGTTGATGGTTCTGGTTTCCGTCGGTTTGACTCCAGCAAGATTCAGATTTTCTGAGGCTCAGAATCGAGTTTTGGTGAAACGTGTTTGGATCCGGGTTTGACGAAGGTCTGCAGATCAGGAACTTTCTGACTGAAGCCAGAACTTGAAGAACCTCGTGAGGCCCTGGAGTGGGCTGGATGGTCTCCATGGAGATGACCTGGATGACCTGTGACATCAACCGTCAGCAGTTGACCTCCGGTTTCCGCTCTTTGGGCTCCTCTGTAAGTTCACTTTCAGTCAAGATGGCTGTCGTTTTAATCCTTTTGGACCAGTTAGTGAAACCATCTGTGATGTTTATGGTTCAAAATATGTTGACTATAATTTTATGACCACCAGGGCGGCCATTTTGAAACTAAGGAATGATCAGTAAGTATGATTTCTACATGTTGAGTTATGAAAGATTGAACACCGAAAGGATTTATGTGATATTAGCCAATTCAGTACAAAAATAACATGGCCGCCATCTTGACTTTCCCGAGGCGACCATAATTTGTTTTCAAACAGCAATCTGTGCCGAGAAACATGATCATTTCCACATGAGGTTTAGTGTCTCCACTCTGGTGATCCAAAGGTTCTGGTTCTGGTTCCGAAGTGCCTGGGCTTCAGGACAGGGAAGCAATTTAAAACCCAAACTGTACCAGAAGAGCAGAACCGGACTGATCCGACCTGCCGTCGGGTCAGAACGAAGTCTTCTGAGGTCCTGCCGGGTCCAGGTAGCCGGGTCATCAGCAGGGCGTGTTGGACCTGCAGGCTCTTTTGGTTGGTGAATTTTGGTGGAGCTGCTGCAGCTCGCCTGCTCTGGTTTCCGTCGGAAGCTTCCGGTTCTCCATGTTCGGACCTCGGTGCCTCAGGTCGCTGCCAGAGGAACGGCCTCGATCCGTTCAACCACACAGGACCCAGAACCGATCAGAACCCGGACCGTGTTCCTCCAGGAGAAGCTGCTGCAGCTCCGAGGTTCTGCTGCGGCTCGCTGCAGCCCGGCTAATGAGCTCACTCCAGCAGCGCCCATCTCCCTCTGGGTGTGGCCGGTCTCACATGTCTGTTTGGATCAGAACCGGGCTCCAGATCAGACAGACACGCTGTTGGTGTGAAGCTGAGGAAGACGATCTTCCTCCTGAAGCGTCAGCAGCTCTGAGGTCCTGGAATCTTCAGGGATTCTAGATTTATTGGGAAACGCTGCACATCAGCAGGTATTCCAGGTTTATTCCAGGTTCATTCCAGGGTTAATCCCAGGCCAGGGCCTTTACTCCAGATGTTTCAGGAGAACTGAGGTCCTGCAGGGTCCAGGAAGCCGGGTCATCAGCAGGGCGTGTTGGACCTTCAGGACCTGGAAGACCTCTGATCAGAGGGATTGATCGGTATTGGAAACGTTTTCCAGGTATTGTTCCGAACACATCAGAACTATCTCCTGACCCGCGGGTCGCTCTATTCTCTGGACAGCAACTTACGGAGTCTGAGTGGGTCAAAGGTCAGGATCTGACCCAGTTCTGCAGAACCTCTGAAGGTAGAGCATGGGTCAGAACCAGACCAAACTGGGCAGTAGGTACATCACATAGATTCTGTCACATAGATCCGCTCCCCGACTGTGTGACCGAACTCTTCATCAGCTGCTGAGGAAGAAACCAGGCAGCACACACACACTCGCAGACGCACACACACACACGCGCGTTTATGTGTCTTTGTGGGACTTTCCATTGACCTCCATTCATTTCTACAGTCTAACCTTCATCTTAACTGTAACCAAAACTCAATTCACACTTCAGTCCTAAATCTGACCCTGATCCAAACAGTGCTCTCCTTGTGGCTCCTTCAGGGCCCCGAACCAAATGCCCTGAAGGAGCATTTGGTTCCCACAACATAGCAGGAAAATGGTCCCCATAAGGTATTAGAAAACACACACACACCAGTTGCTATAACTTGGTGGACAATATTTACTGTAAACTAATGTTACAAACTTTTACCCCCTCCCTTTCTCCGGACATAGAGACTTAGCCCCTCCCCTTTCTCCGGACATAGGGACTTAGCCCCTCCCCTTTCGATGGACATATGGACTTAACCCCGCCCCTTTCTCTGGACATAGGGACTTAGCCCCTCCCCTTTCTCTGGACATAAGGACTTAGCCCGCCCCTTTCTCTGGACATAAGGACTTAACCCGCCCCTTTCTCTGGACATAAGGACTTAGCCCCGCCCTTTCTATGGACATATGGACTTAACCCCGCCCCCTTCTCTGGACATAAGGACTTAACCCCGCCCCTTTCTATGGACTTAACCCCGCCCCTTTCTCCGGACATAGGGACTTAGCCCCGCCCCTTTCTATGGACATATGGACTTAGCCCCTCCCCTTTCTCCGGACATAGCCCCTCCCCTTTCTCCGGACATAGATACTTAGCCCCGCCCCTTTCTATGGACATATGGACTTAACCCGCCCCTTTCTATGGACATATGGACTTAACCCCTCCCCTTTCTATGGACTTAGCCCCTCCCCTTTCTCCGGACATATGGACTTAACCCTCCCCTTTCTATGGACTTAGCCCCTCCCCTTTCTCCGGACATATGGACTTAACCCCTCCCCTTTCTATGGACTTAGCCCTCCCCTTTCTCCGGACATATGGACTTAGCCCTCCCCTTTCTCCGGACATAGGGACTTAGCCCCGCCCCTTTCTATGGACATATGGACTTAACCCCGCCCCTTTCTCCTGACATAGGGACTTAGCCCCTCCCCTTTCTCCGGACATAGGGACTTAGCCCGCCCCTTCAGTTCTGACTGTGAGGCAACTAACACCTGCTGATAAAAAAAGTTTTTTAAACTTTGCCAGTTCTAATATTTGGCCATTTAAAATCATTTTCTGTTGATTTATTTTTCTGTTTTCTTTCCTTTTCATGGATTTTGGTTCTTTTGTTCTTCCTGATTTATTTGATCCGTTTTCTTCTTTAAGTCTGTCCGCCGTTCAGATCTCCGTCTCCCTTCGCTGGTCTCCTGTTTCCTGCCTGAACCTCCAGGCTTCCCTGTCCTCCGGGTTTCCGTGGTTTTCCCTCCTGCTTTGTGTCTGACTTCGGCTCTGATGTGTTTGTGTTTCCTGACAGGACGGCCTTACATGGACAGGCAGCGGAGCGCCTCCTCCGAGGACGCGCTGCATCATCATCATCATCATCATCCTCCTTTAATAAGAGCGGCGCAGGAGGCGGAGACGCTCTTCATCACTCCTGGATTTATTTGCTCTTCTTCCAGATCCCTGCAGAAATAAACAGCGATATTAAACTTTATTATTATTGTTCGACTTCAGCTTTAATAAAGAGCCTGTTGGATGAAATCGCGCCGTTTTCACCCTGAGGAGCTAAAAAACAGGAAGTTCACCTGCCAGGTCTTCCTGCTCCTTCTGAGTCTTTTACATGGCTTGACGCCTTCCTGACCTCTGACCCCTCCTCCCCACTCACATGTCCAACCCATTCGCCTCTCGCTGCCTAGACCAGACCAGGAAGTCCGATCAGGTGGAGCAGTGAGCCCTGCTTTAACTAGGCCTCCCACCTTTAGCCATTGGCCCCGCCCCCTGACGCCTCTGGACTCCTCCTGTGAAACGCTCTGATGCAA